CAACATTTAGCAGCCACGGCCGTTTCCTTTAGTTTAGCCATACGTGGCTGCAAGCTTTACGTCTACGAAGTTTTTAACGCAATAGCCCAGCTTATGAGTTCTTCCAACACCACAGCTAAAGTCCTCGCACCATTTCGGCCTTCACTCCTTCGACCTCATGGCGTTAGACACTAATTGTTGAAGGGATCCTTCTAGCCTAATGCTTCCTCGTTATTCTCCTTGGCCTACTCCAGCCTCTGACGGGTTAAACCCCTTTGCGCAGCTCATTCCATTGGACCGCAACATTTACGCTTTTCTTCCATTTGTTTTACTCAGACTGCTATTTTTTGGATCAGGAATTCCAAGGGGCCCTTAACCTGGTGGTCCCTGATTTGCGTCCAAGGCGTTTTTGGTAGGCTCTCCCCTTAGTCTGTCGCAGTCAATCGCCGTTCGCTTTGCAGGAAGGGCGATGATACTGTGTTGCTTTTTTCCTCTCACTCCACGCATGTCTGGTTAGCAGGACGCCTTTAGTGGGACTCGTGGGCTATCATCTTCTGCTTGATTCTGCGATGTTCGAAAGCAGCCCATTTTTGTGGTTCATGCATATCCAGATGAAGCAGATGCCATCTTTTGTCAAGCCCGTGGGGTATCCACCCTGCTCTTGGTGCCCGCTGTTGCCATCGGCCGGGGTCCCGTGGATGAAAAGGTTTAGGTCTTCGTTTGAATGTCGGTCCTATCAATGTCAGAAGACAGCCATTGAGCAGTAGTTATCTACGTTTCTTACGTCAGGTTTCCCCGCATAAAACAATAGGGAATTTAAGCAATGACTACGGAAGCATCTAGTGTACTCACGTTCTTTCAATATTTACAACGATTTTCAGTTCCATTCCCTTAATTTGTGAAATGTGAGTAAACTCTCCTGAAGGTGAATTCCTAACAACCATAACCAAGTCCATAAAAACGTGAAATTATGCATTTTCACGTGTTGGTCTTGCAGTGACAAGGAATAATGTACCAGAAGAAAGTGATGCATGTGTGAAGTTGTTGTGTCTCATGAATCGAGGAAAAATAAAAAAATCGAGCAAGACTTTATCCCCCATGTGTACTTTAAATTTTGTCTTGATTTTAGCTAAAATAAGAGAGTTGCTTCTTGTTTCATCATGGAGGAGGAATTTCTAGTTCTTTACGAAGAATATCAGCTTGCCAACATGAATTTCCCACACTCCTTGTATGGCGAGTTTGATCTTGATGACATGGAAGATGATGAATGTTTGGTGGAGTTTCGAGTTAGAAAGAGAGATTTGGCGACCCCTGCAAAAGCTTTAGAAATACAGGAAAGCTTTCATTGTCAACAGCAAAGCAAGATAAATAGTATGGAGGGGTTGTGTATTCCTCTGAGATGGTTTGCCTAACCCTGTCGCTACTCAGACATGCTTCCGCGTTTCAAAAGGTCTGTTCCAGTGCTAAGTATGGCTACCAATACAGTTCTGGACTAGATATGTGACACTCACAAACATTTACTAAGTGGGTGAAACCCACATTTGATAAGTCCTCAGGCACTCGGAGTTTATGCACAGGCCGCTGCAAGAAAAGAATCTCCACTTCAAAATTGCTTTGGTTTTATAGATGGAACTGTCTCCCCATTTGCAGACCTTGAAGACACCAGCGTGTCCTACACAACGGCCGTAAACAGGTACATTCCCTTAAATACCAGGCGATTACTTTACTGAATGGGCTCATAGGAATGTATGGACCTGTGGGTGTGTTGTCATTATTGTCATTGTTGGCTATTCATACCGGACCCGTACATCCACTTGTAGTTGCTATTCATACGGGATTCTGACTAAACTTACCTGATTGGGGTTAAGCACTGACAATACTGCTTAGGGTTAAGCAATGAAAATAGTGATTAGGCGCTAAGCACTGACCATACTGATTAGGGTTAAGCACTGACTCGAAACGGTTAGCTGCTACATAGGGTTACAGTTGTTGCTATATGAATGAAAATAAAACTCTACCTAGCAGCGAGTATTCCGTGGTAGAGTGGTTAGGCTACGAACTATGGATTCTAAACCCCGGGATCGATTCTCCATCGTACCATATCGAATTTATTTTCCTTTTAGAAATTGCCACTGAATTTTTTTTCCTTAAAAATTGAACGGTGGTTCAAGGAAATTTAATGACCAGAAATTTCATATAAACTTCGGTGTACAGGTCCCGTACGAATAGCCACTGGGTTTTTTTTGGCTATAAACAGCAGTACTTTCCCTTAATACGGAAACTGATAATAGTGTGAACTCTTGAAGCTAAGTTGTTGAGCCTTTTCTTTTTTCCATCATTTGCGCTTGTGATCGATGTCGACTGCAAGATTTCCCGCGCAACTTTCTCAGTTGATGTATACATAGAATACACACTGACAATTTTTATCCTCAAGACGTCATATCAACTTCAAGACCACATCATTTGTGAAACTGTTCAGTTAATATTTGTGCAGTAAGCTTACTTATATATTTGTATAGATAGATTTTACGGAACCTAATAATTAACTGCTCATGCAGTTCGTGTGAATGATGTACACCTGCCCCCCCAACCCTGGCCATGCGCCAGCAAAGACAAAGTTGCAGGGGGAGTTAGTACCCTTTTAACAGTTGCAGGGCATCGGATAATTGACTGCTTCAGTAGGAGTGATCTCACTTTGTCGTGATTAAATATCTTTAAAGGCATTGTAACAGCGGGGATAGCAAATTCTCACAACCATGACAAGTGTAAACAAAATTCTTTTATTAAATTTAGCAGCTGCAAAATGTAATTATTGCACAAAAGGGAATATGTATTTTTCTGTTCAGAGCTAAAGAAATATTCACTAAGTTGTAGTTCTACTGCCATGTCAGTTTACTTGACATGGTCGACACTAAGTCCTAGCAGTTCAGTTGAAGATGCCCCGGCTGACTCTCAGATGCCTGACCATAAACCACCCCAACTTAAAAGAACTAGACCTAGAGAGTACTGTTTAATACGACCCAAAAATTAAAGAAGGACTCTCCTTGGCAAGGATTTCAAAATACCTTTCTGATGCTTTTGAAAAGTGCACTAAGATGAACAGCTTTCTTGATGATGTCCCAGAAGGCAGTTGACCAGGAACTGTGTCGCCTGCCTAAAAGCATTCAGGAGAGCATCTCACAAGGGAGCATTTAACAGAAGCTGCAAAATTATTATCCAAGGAAGTGCCTGTGATGAGAGATGAGAAGTCGCCTTTATGGCCAGGGGAAATTGCATTTGAGTACTGGGCAAGTTCTTCTATCTAATAATTTTAGTTTACATGAAAGCTGCTCGAGAAACATCTTATATATAATATTTTGAGGTGGAACAAAACAATATCTAGCATCCCATGCGGTGTCTTCCGGACACTGACAGCGAACCAAAAGCAACTACTACTTTTCTTATAGAAGTCGGCTGCAATTACTTTTCCCTAAACTGAACTACCTAAATAAAGATTCTAACGGCCTCTTGTTGATATCTTCAGTTACTGTACTTAGAACAGCTGCCTTACACCGTAAATCCTCTATTAAGCCCCTCAGCCCTCTCTCTTTAAAGCATCTCCCCCCACCTTCAGTTTTGCAGTTGAACTGTATTGAGATTGTATTAAATAAAGTTATTTATAAAAACTAACACTTTGTTTAAAGCATGGTACAATTTGTTCGAGTCTCGTTTTTTTTTTTTTTTTTAAAAAAGCTCTCGGTTTGACCATAAAAAGATAAGCCCCCTCCACATCTGGCTCTCTTTAAACTTTCACGGAAAAAAATAAGCCACCTTAAGGGTTCTTCATAGAGGATTTATGGTACTTTACATTGTTTTGACACCCTTGGCACGCAATGTTACTTGCAAGAAAACTTCCTATATCGTGGTTTATGAATGAACGTTTCTTTCTCTTCACATGATTGTTTTCCAACATAAGAGCTCCTCCAAAAGGCTTTTAAAGAAATCCTATTCAAATGAGAAAAGTTTCAAGAAAAAGGCCATTCCCCCTGAAGCCTCGGTTGATCATATGAACATGACACGTATATACACGTACATATCCACCCGAGGTCAAAAATTGTCAACAGCTGAGCTAATAATCTGCACCGTACAATTCAAACAGCATTATCCCTAAAGATTTAAAATTCTGAAGCAACCATTAATGTTAACTGATGGGTGTTGATGCCCTTTATTCCTCATGAATGACTTTATTTACTCCCGGGAAAAGCTCCAGGTATCTTTGAAGAGAACTCCGTCACGGACCGCCGTAGACAACCCGACCTGATTCATGATACTGACCTTTTGTGTTTTGATTTTAGTGGGTTGTAACCTTGTCTCAAATCTGCTGTAACATCCCTTTAGCCCTGGTCCTAATTCACTTCTCCCCGAAAGTTACGATTTTATGATCACTATTATTTTGAACGATGACCTCATGTAAGAATCTTATCAAGTTATTTGAGATGTGCTCTCAAGATTGAGACATCAATCTATTACGAAACCTGTCCACTACAAAACTGAAGTGATAGCACGCGTGCATCGCTTCTTTTGCAATACTTCCCTTTTCACGGACCGCCGTAGACAACCCGACCTGATTCATGATACTGACCTTTTGGGTTTTGATTTTAGTGGGTTGTAACCTTGTCTCAAATCTGCTGTACCATCCCTTTAGCCCTGCTCCTAATTCACTTCTCCCCGAAAGTTACGATTTTATGATCGCTATTATTTTGAACGATGACTTCATGTAAGAATCTTATCAAGTTATTTGAGATGCACTCTCAAGATTGAGGCATCAATCTGTTACGAAACCTGCCCACCATAAAACTGAAGTGATAGCACGCGTGCATCGCTACTTTTGCAATACTTCCCCTTGGGACACAAGTAGGAAAAAAAATCATTAACCTGAATTAAATCCCCATCGCAGTAGTTGTGGAAAACTCCTTGAAGGACAAAAAAGAGACCACAGGAGCGAGAGAGAAGAGAGAGAACCAGGCAAGCGCTGCGCGGTTATGTTTTGTAACAACACCAACAGAGACGGAGTAAGTCTCCACCAGTTTCCCACAGATGAACCCCTTTGGCGCCAGTGGATTGCTTTTGTCTTAGCAAAGAGGGATGATGACTGGACGCCGGGATCTGGTAATATTTGCAGTTCACATTTTATGCCAGACTGTTATGAAGGAATGGATGCAAAACTCACAGGGTTTGCTAAGAAGGCTTATCTGAAGAAGACAGCCATCTCCACAATTCAGGCCAATCCCACCCCTGGACAAATTCAGGAAGCGCTTTCTCTTAAGAGAAAACGTACATCTGCGGCAACGCAGGGTGATTCAAAGTGGCAAGTTCAACAAAAGGGGGATATAACACCAAAAAGTCATCCAAATAGATCCAGTCGAGCCTTGTCTAAACTTACCGCTCAACGTTGTGTTGTGTTGCATGAAAAAAAAGTTTCTAAATAATCTAAATCTTTTACGGGATCATAATCAAAACGCGACAATGTGCCTATACGATACAAAGATACAATTTACTGAAATCAGGCAAAAGGTTATGGCGGAACACACCAACAAAAAACTGCTCTCGTTTACAAAGTTAATGTGTCGAGTTCTTTTTTTTAAAAAAAACAACATTCTTTGGTTATAACGGCTGGTGGTAGATTATAAGAAGACGCGAAAAAAACAAAAGACCACTGATAAAGTACCAGGACCATCCAAAAGTGACAACAGACAACCAACAAGTAACAATCAATCTGAAGTTTCCCAAACCACGGATCTTGCACAGCCCTCAACAAGTGCATCTGGTGACACTTCGTGTTCAGAGACTGGTGCAGGGAAAGAAGAACGAAGTCAGGCTCGAGAGTTTCAAACAGCTAACAAGGGAACTGACAAAGGACTTTGCCGCCTAATCTGTCGCAGCAAAGGTAGATTTTAGTCTTAATTATATAGTGAAAAATAAACGTCTTTACTAAGGGTTTAGCCATCTTTTCAAACATTCTTTGCAATGAGACTATTTTTGGTGATGAAGGTTTTTAATCATAGGTACCCAGATTTCTCTTAAGTCCAACACAACGGTGAAAAATGGGACTCAGTGCTACATAGCAAAACTTCCTCCATTAATACTGCTCTCAACTTTATGTAAGGAGGCAGAAAATCAAACAGATTATGCACCTACGCCGGAGCTACTCGCGTCCTTTGAAGATGAGTTGTTTGAAGACCTTGACGTTGATGATGAAAAGTACAATCCTTACTTAACATCCAAGGAAGATGAAGACGAAGGTGGTAGTAGAGATGAAAAACAATCTGGAAAGTGAGGATGGTAAAAAAGTAAAACACAAGCTGTTGAAGAGTATTCATAAACTGCAGTAACACCGACTTGATTTGATCTCCACACCACTCTGTATCTTTCCTTTTTAACATATCTGCTCAAAGAAACAACTATAACCCCTATTTCTATAGTCTCCGTTTACTATACTGAATGTTTCATTCTTGTTATTGCTCATATAATGCAGATCTATTGGAGAAACGCAAAAGTTGAAGCCACATAAGGAAAGGAAATTTATTGTCTTCGAAACAAATCTGTTGAGCTTGTTTGCTTGTTGCCCCATCTGTGCTGGCCACGCAGAGGCTAAAATCTCGAAAGAAATCAGCACCATCAGTCAGGTTCAGCCATGTGTGGTGCAGCCAGCCATTTTCTAAAGAAAAAAGATGCCAGATGGGAACTTGTTACTTTCCTCTTCAATTCTTTTGACGGGTCTCTCCATGGTGTTTTTTTTAAGTTGCGTTCTAGGCGTGGTCCGTTGAAGACTTCAAAGGCAGGAAATGTGGCTACTTAATGGTCTTGAACAAAATGAACAGAATATGACAAATCTTTAATTGGCTCCTGCAGGAGAAAGTTAAATAGGGTGAAGGTCGCTGTATTTGTTTTCTTTTGTCGAAGGAAATTCTGCTGCTAAAAGCTAATGGATGTTTAACATTATGAACGTCGCATGCATATCAGAGAGCACATACTACCGTCATTCAAATCGTACGTAAATCCCACCATTTTACAGCAGTGGAAAGCACATCAACAGCATCTCTTTAATAGTCTTAGCAGTCGGGATAACGGACTGCTTCTGACTGGCGATGGAAGGAATATCAATGTTTTTTCTCATTTCATTACGTTTTATTATTGTGTTTCATTTTATTAAGAGCGGGTTCGCACAAATGAAATGAATTCTGTTGACTTTTTCAGTTGTTCAGGAAATGCTATTGTTTGAAATGTCACCACTTCAAGAAAAAATACCATTGGGGTAAAGGGATGTTGCCAGTGATGTGAAGTTTTCTCACTTTTTATTGGAAGAAATTATTATGGTATTATTTTGACATTAGCTTAATTATTGTTTTCAAGCTGTTGATAAAATGACGTTGTTTGAACGAATGGAAAAACTAGAGCAGCGTGGACAGAGAATAGCTTCTGAGACTTTTTCAAGAATGGAATTTAAATAGAACTGTTATGGCGCTCATGACTGACTATATGACTATTGCACGAGCCATGTGCCTTAGGCAACAATTGAATAGAGTTTTATCTTTTTGTTTTTAGCATTTCATGGACTCTTGAGGCTTGAAGTAAAGAAGGAGAAAGAGGATAGTTTTTCAGTATTTACGGCTTTGCGTCAATTGGGTCAAGAAAGTGAATATGAGTCCTGTTTTCAAGTGTATAATTTTTTGCGTATTGCTAGGATGCTATTAACACACCAGAATAGGCATAAATTTACTGTTTGAGGATGACATAGAAAACACTCTTTTTGCACATGTGATATTTGCGCTGATAACGTGATTGAATTAATAAAATGATGAACTTTGGAATAAATGTGCCAGTGTCATTTAACTTGGGCGGGGCTAATTATAGAATTCAAAAATGGGAGTTAAATAGGGTTTGCAGTAATCATGGAGGAGAAAGTAGTACACTCCCTTGTATGGATCTGCACTGAATCGTTGTCATGCGAGACGAAAGAAAAAATACTTGACAGGTTTTGTTTTAAACATCCCATTTTTCATGAAGTTGCTTTGTACATGGCTGAAACGAAACCCCAGTCGGAGTTGGCGCTTAAAGTTGGTCAAAAATTACCGTGGAATCATGCCCGAAAGATTGACTTTGAACGTCATTGGGCGAAATGGAAGCTGAAACACCTCCCATTCCGTTTGACGAGTAGTTGGGCGAAATGAAAGCCGAGACACCTCCCATTCCGTTTGATGAGTGTCTGAGCGAAACAGAAACTCAAACTGATGTTATTTCATCCCCTGCTCCTTTTGGTGGCATGATGGAAGAGCAAACAGACTCAATGTGGTCGACGATTGATTTGAATGAAGAAGTAGGTAACGACTGTTCCAAGGAAGATGCATTGCAGGCGTTTGTCAATAAATTGTGAACATATGCATTTTTTGCAAATGATTTATTAAAATTACTTTACACACCTAACTTGACTTTGGCTTGCATTACTTTTTTCACAATACGTTCCATGCGGGTCTTAAGCCCAGGTAATTTGTTGATTCGAGCAATCATGGTACGATCAGCCTTGGGCTTGTCCTTTAAGTGGCGGGCTTTACTGTAGTCGATGTCATGCTGTTTGGAAATTCTGTTCAATTGATTGATGCCTGGATCTCCACGCGCCAAACGTTTTTTTTTTTAACTTGGTGCCTGGCCCCATGTACTGATATCCTGGTTCCTGAGGTTCTTATTACGCGTCGGGTTCATGACTTGTCAACAGCACCTCACGCCTAGCAGCCACATCAGCAGCCTTGTTCAACCGTCCATCCTCCACCAATTCCTGTTTGTACTTGTCTTTCAATCGCACAAAGGCAGGAAAATCAGACACTGCTGTGCTCGTCAACTCACTCATGACCACGTTTGACGTTTTACTCAGACTACAAGCATCTTTTACAACATCCCAACTCTTTCCACAAACTCCCGCCCGTCTGTTCCATCATCCATTTGCGTCTTTTTTTCAACGAATTGCGAGGATTGGCCATTTGTCGCAATACTTGGGCGTGTGGGCGTAACACCTTGACTGTGTTTCGACTACGTGNACTTGACTTTGGCTTGCATTACTTTTTTCACAATACGTTCCATGCGGGTCTTAAGCCCAGGTAATTTGTTGATTCGAGCAATCATGGTACGATCAGCCTTGGGCTTGTCCTTTAAGTGGCGGGCTTTACTGTAGTCGATGTCATGCTGTTTGGAAATTCTGTTCAATTGATTGATGCCTGGATCTCCACGCGCCAAACGTTTTTTTTTTTAACTTGGTGCCTGGCCCCATGTACTGATATCCTGGTTCCTGAGGTTCTTATTACGCGTCGGGTTCATGACTTGTCAACAGCACCTCACGCCTAGCAGCCACATCAGCAGCCTTGTTCAACCGTCCATCCTCCACCAATTCCTGTTTGTACTTGTCTTTCAATCGCACAAAGGCAGGAAAATCAGACACTGCTGTGCTCGTCAACTCACTCATGACCACGTTTGACGTTTTACTCAGACTACAAGCATCTTTTACAACATCCCAACTCTTTCCACAAACTCCCGCCCGTCTGTTCCATCATCCATTTGCGTCTTTTTTTCAACGAATTGCGAGGATTGGCCATTTGTCGCAATACTTGGGCGTGTGGGCGTAACACCTTGACTGTGTTTCGACTACGTGGTACAACCCCTTTGACCAGTTCACTAACGGCATTGATCTAATCAGCATTGGCCAGTCTCAATAATTCGTTTCCAACCCTATTCAAGACTACCTACTTGATTTGAATCCCTAATAGTCCCCTATTCAATTAGTTTTGGTTTTTACAATATTCACCAATCAATTGATAAGTCCTACTATTGAAAGGGTTGAATAAAGAAGCCCACCGTTTTTTTGTGGATGAAACCACGCTAACGCCGTTATTATAATGCTTAATTTTTAACGTGAGAAGTATGTCGCCTTATTTACAGAAAAAACAGCGTACCTACTGAGGCAGTTCCCTCAAAGATTTTCCAGAAGAGTGCGACTACTTTCAGTTACTACCCAACGAAATTGAAAGAATTATTTATCAGTACATGATTGGAAGTCAACTACAAGAACGGAAGCAACCCCATTGGCCTAGCCTAATGATGGAAATCCAATTGTTACCTTTTTGTACTGCACGTCAATTCATCATACCACCCCCAATGACTTTCAACTCAGCTGTCTGTTCCCCTTCGGCACTGGGTGCCATTTCTGCAAAATAAAACAAAGAACCAGGTATTGCGAGCACAGCCACCTTGACTACTACCCTTTAGAAGTGGACCATGACCGGTATGGAGCTTAAAAACCAGCATTTTTTCATAAAAGTCAATAATAAGCGAGTTCGGAGTTCCAGCGGTCAATCTCAAAATTGCGTGTGACTGGGAACGAATCGGGATAAAAATGATTCGTTGATATAGGAAATTGTAAGCAAGTTTGTAGATCTGGCATCGATCATTTTTTGTCTAGTGTACTTTTCTCGAGATGTTTGTCATCTCTCAAGAGAAGAGGACATTAGACGACTTTAGGAGATGGAAAGTCCCGGAACTGAAGGAATTTTTACGCATTCGTGGTTTGAAAACAACGGGGACCAAGGACGAACTTACTGCATTGGCTTTCGGAGCGGAACAGCTATCTGTGCCTGTGAAACTAACCGCGGAAGAGGAAATAATACAGAAAAAGAAGCAATACCAAAGTCTTCTTAACGTAAATGGTGAGCAGTTACCAGATCCTTTCACGGAACTCAAAGATAATTGGATCAGTGAAGAAACGGGAGTTGAAAAATGGCCACCTATCTTACAGATGCAAATAGCGGAATTTATCCTAACGGCCGAACAAGGGAGCGATCTTGGCAAACGCCTTCTCAGTGATTATAAAGAGGGAAAAGCCTTTAGCTATTTTGATTCACAATGGCTGAAGGAAGTTTTTTATCACCCCATTTCAGACACTCACGAACTTTGCTTCTTGAAGTCGCAATCAACACCTTCGCAAAGAATAGGCAACGTACCACACAAGATTTGGGTTTGCGTGAAAAAGATAAATGGCACAGTGGAGGCCGCTTATTGCACATGTTTTGCCGGGTAAGAGATTGATTTCATGTGTATATAACAGTATCTGTGGAAGTATAGTTATGACTTTTTATTTTTCATTCAGTTTGGGATCCACGTGTAATCACGTAGCGGCTGTGCTTTTTAAAGTGGAGCATGCCTGGAAAAGTGGTTTGACACTTGGGAATTCGCCGACATCGAAAGAATGTGCTTGGAATAAGTATGGGGCAAATAAGAAAGGTGTGGAGCCAAAAAGGATTAGTGAAATGAAATGGAAAAAGCCTCACCACAGCAAGAAGGGTATGCAAATAATAAGTGTTTTGGTTTATGTCTGGCTCTTTTCACAAACTGGTGTGACATGTGAATACGGGACAATGGGGCTAATAGAAAAAAGCAAACAGGAAACAATACAAAACAGCGATAAAAGACTAGCTAGAGAAAATGTGGCCTGCGAGAAAAGGTTTTCTTTGCCTTTAAAAGTGAGGGATGTTTTAAAACGGCTCTAACCACCTTTTTAATTATATTCTTATCACCCTTCTGAATGTAGTTTGTGTACTTGTTTTAAACATTTTAGTACATCTTGTTGTATAATGTATTTTTCAGGAAAATCCAAACCAATAAACCCCGTGACAAGACA